TCATTGAGCTCCCATACTGTGCCGTTTGCACTCTCACCCAGCTATTTAATGCCATCGCAAAACTTGGCCACTTTCCAGTGAGATGGAAAAAGTCAATTATAATAATGATAGCAAAGCCGGGAAAAGACCACACTATCCCCACGTCGTATAGACCTATAAGCCTACTCTCTTGCCTATCTAAACTCTTTGAAAAATGCCTAATGACTCGGATAAACACATACCTGAGAATCCAGGATCCTTCCCGTCACACCAATTTGGGTTTCGTGAAAAGCATGGAACAATTGAGCAGGTCAACCGGATAACATCCGAAATTCGGAACGCGTTCGAAAAACGAGAGTACTGTACTGCCATATTTTTAGATGTCTCTCAAGCATTCGATAGAGTCTGGCTGGAAGGTCTAATGTACAAGATCAAGACAATGCTCCCCTACAGCACCCACAAGATTTTGGAGTCTTACCTTCACGACAGAAAATTTGTCGTGAGGTGCAATACCGCTATATCCGATGAGTACACTGTTGGAGCTGGAGTTCCTCAAGGCAGCGTGCTAGGGCCAATATTATATGTCCTCTACACAGCAGATATCCCGACAAGCACACGTCTAACAACATCCACGTTTGCCGATGACACAGCTATTCTTAGCCGCTCAAAATGCCCGATTCAAGCAACTGCGCAGCTAGCTCATCATATGGTCGATGTCGAAAAATGGCTGTCAGACTGGCGAATTAAAGTGAAGGAACTAAAATGCAAGCATGTTACGTTCACTCTGAACAGGCAAAACTGCCCGCCGATAACACTAAACAACACTCTACTCCCACAAGCAAACGAAGTAACATACCTAGGAGTACATCTCGACAGAAGACTCACATGGCGCCGGCACATTGAAGCCAAAAGAACACACCTAAAGCTAAAAGCCAGCGGTCTTCATTGGCTTATCAACGCTCGGTCACCTCTTAGCCTTGAACATAAAGTCCTGCTGTACAACTCGGTACTAAAACCTATATGGATGTACGGCTCCCAGTTATGGGGGAACGCCAGCAATAGCAACATTGACATAATTCAAAGAGTTCAGACGAAGATCTTGAGAACAATCACCGGGGCACCGTGGTACGTTCGCAACGAAAACATACACCGCGACTTAAACATTCGACCAGTCAAAGAAGCGATCGCAGAACAGAAGGTAAAGTACTTAACCAAGCTATCGGTGCACCCTAACCACCTGGCGAGAGGTCTAACAAGGTTGAGCAACCAATCACGCCTTCGTCGCAATGACTTACCCACCCAGCGACCGACCTGAGGGACGCGCAACCAGAATGCAGTCTTAGTATACTGTTAGTTAAATTTTAATGTTAAGATTCGTCAACTTATTGTTAGTCTCAAAATTAAGAGTAGATTCAATAAATAAAAGCAAAGCTATAATAAAAAAAAAAAAAAGGTATTTTTGCTGCCGACTCAAAACGGTAAATTAAATATTTCAAACTAATTTTATAAACGGAAATTGGTAAAAAAAAAATTGTTTAAAAGTTTGTGATTATGTCACCAACAAACATAATCTTCATTTTGGGTGTATTTGGTATAACCCGCTGCAAGCCACCAGAGAAAGGAGAAAAAAAAGTAGAGAACGGCTATTGTCGAGTTTTCCGACTTTATTATACCCGGTACTCATCTCTTCCACCTACAGTGCACTATAGGAAATATGACCACTTTTTCTGGCCAAAAATAATATCTCAAGAACGAAACAAGATATTTAAGTTCTGATTTTTAATTTGAGTTCACATGGTCAATAGATTTAAGATTTTAAAAAAATGTGGGCGTGGCACCGCCCACTTTTTAAGAAACACATTCTAACTCAAAAACAATGCAAGATATTTAGATTTTGATTTTTTGGTCAAAAGAACTCAGATTGAAAAAATTGTGGGTGTGGCACCGCGCCCTATTTAATAATAACATGCTAACTGTAGAACTAAGCAAGATATTTCCATTTGGTTCTTTTTTAGTGCTTTATAAAGCCATAGTCTTCTTTTGAAAAAGTAGGTGTGGTTTTTTTTATTTTGATTAAAAATTTTTTATTTTAATTAAAAATTTTTTATTTTTTTTTAAATTTAAATCGGTTTTGCACTAGTCTCACAGCTAACAGATTCACATTCAAGGTGTTGAGGTTGCCTCCTTAAATTATGAATTTCTTCGAAAGTGCATAAAAGGGCATGTTCATATTTCACTCATTTGAAGAAAATTAAAATAAAATAAAATAAAATTAAACAATCTACAACATGGACTAAATTACAATGTTCGACTCGGTCGGACTTAGTTTAAATTTCTTTTTAAAAATGTGATTTATTTCTAAAAATTTCTTTTGCTAGACTGCTTACATTTTCACTTCATTCAAAAGACAACACAAGTTTTTTGGACACTTTACATACACAAACACATAATACAAACCACATTGAAAAGTATTCATTTCAAAACTTTTGATTTTGTCCATAAAATTTTCAGTATTCGCGTTTATAAAATCGCACAAAAAAATCGTAAATTCTAAACTCATGTAAATGTTAACATTAACAGCTGTTTTTAACAGCTGATTTCTTCGCAGTGGCGCCATCTATGAAAATTTCTGGTATGCAACATTAAAAATTAATCTAATGTGAATGATATGCACTTAAAATTATTTTAATCTTTTAACTTTCAAAAAATGGTTCTTTGCCAGAAAAAGTGGTCAAATTTCCTATAGTGCAGTGGAAGGGAGAGTGCTGGACTCTCAGCCCAAAAAATGTTTGTTGCATACTTTTGTGCTTGGGGAAAACAGCTTCGGTTGTTTTCAGTAAGAAAAAAGAATAAAAAATCTATGGATCCTTTAAAAATTGTCCGATTGGGCGAGAACTTTGTTTTGAATTTTGATTTTTAGGTAAGGATTAGGCATTGGAATAGTTTGGCATCAAAACATTTTTCAAAAACTTGTTTGAACTGGCACTACAACCAGATTTCCGTTTTAAGCCGGAATGGGCGTGGCAATATTTTGACAAATTTTTGATCTGCTTGGTTACTATAGGAGCTTAAGTTTCAAATCGAATAGTTCTATCTCTTATAGTCTCCGAAATGGTCTGTTTATATCATGTTTATATCAACTCAGGCGGGAACCTGATAAAGAATGTATGTACATATGTACTTTACATGGTCGCAGATGTATTCTCCACTGCGTTGCCCATTTTTGAGCAAAAGGGTATTTGCAAGGGTATAAAACTCCCAATCTGACGCGGAAATAACTGAAATGATAGTATCAATACTGGTCAGTTTGGTTGTCAAATAAGATTGTCAAATTTGGTTGTCCAACGAATTTTAGTCATGAATTAAGTTTTATTTCCCGGCAGGGATATTTACCAAAACTGCTTCGTTCTGAATAAGTATACTTCCAAAAATTCCCAAGTCACATATAAAATATAGCTGTATATACATCTTAAGAGATACAGACATATATATAGATACACCTTCATACCAACACATTATTTAATTATCAATTTAGTTATATTTATTTAGTTATCAATGTATTTACCGAATTTATGACGCAGAATCGTTGTATTAAACTTTATATTAAACTTTAACTTTAACGTCCACTGCGACCACATTTTTTTTCCGACCAGGAAACTGCCCACTGGTCCGTCTCAACAGCTCCCCCCCCCCATCCCACAGGTAGACAACCCGAAATAACTAGGTTTCACGCTTGACAGGAGGCTTACGTGGAAACCAGGGTACAAAACAACCCGAATCAGTTGGCCATTTCTCTTCTAGCTAACAGCGAGCAGACGAGAAAGCTTTGCAGAACCCACCCACAGGACCTACAATGGATTAATCCCTAATCACTCGTATCTAACATTAATCTCTAACATTAATTTATCTACTCGCCAAGTTTATTGTGTAACAATTTAATGGTTGTCCAGCAAGGACAGTTTTAAATAAATATTATCCCTGTTATAACAAAAAAAATTTTCATTTTTCAATTATTTCTTTTGGTCCATTTTGCCTTTTCCAAAAATTTGATTCTTTCAAAATGGAATTGGAAAAATGTATATATTGATCTTTTTGATGTAATTCATTTTATTCCAGTAGGGGGCAAAATTAAAGTCTTAAAACGATTAGTTTTTTAGCTATCGGAATTATCACTACCACAAACTGAGCGTCCAGAGATTCGTTTTATTATCGTTTTCGGATCAAAAGTAACACATTTTACACGTTTTAGTTTCGAACATTTCAATATGTTTTACGAAGTTTTGGCCCACTGTGTTATTATTAATACAAAAACAAGAAAGAAAAGCTAACGTCGGACGGAACTGAAGTTTATATACCCTTGTAGTTAAAACCGGATATATATCGCAAACATCGGATATAGTTGGCCGATCCTTATGAGAATATGATAATATAACCCAATTTATTATAACAAAAAATCTAAAAAACGTACCAAACTTTTATCTTCAAAAACACCAAAGATGGTATTTCTACCAAATACCATTTCCTAACGTTCAGTTTTATGACAGCTATAAGATATAGTCGACCGATCGTTTTGAAATTTGGTAGGTCGGATTAACTGACCAAAACTAAAATCTTTACCAAGTTCCAGCTTTCTATCTTCAAAAACACAAAAATTGGGTAACTTCCGATTGTTTAGTTATAAAATTTGAATTCTCTAACTTTAAAAACATTAAAGTAATTCCACTTCTGATCAATCAGTTATATGGCAGCTATAGGATATAGTCGGCCGATCCCGGTCGCTCCGACTTATATACTGCGTGCAAAGGAAAGAAGGGTGTGTGCAAAGTTTCAAGTTGATAGCTTTAAAACTGAGAGACTAGTTCGCGTAGAAACAGACAGACGGACAGAAGGACATGCTCATATCAACTCAGGAGGTGATCCTGATCAAGAATATATATACTTTATAGGGTCGGACTGCGTTGCACACTTTTGGAAAAAATTATAATACCCTCTGCAAGGGTATAAAAAGCATACATACATACCTCGTTTTGGTGTGGAATTGTATTCCTGTGTTGCCGTGATTCCACAAGGGTTCCTGATACTTTACAATTTAACTGACCATTTGGGTTGACGAAATTCGTTTCTTTCCAAAATTTAAAAACAGGTGTTGCACTTTGACGGGTAATTTTTTTTTGGTGGTAGTAATTTTCTTCTTTGGAGTTCTTAGATGGTCTTTCAAATTGTTTTGGGTTATTTTTTTCAGGTGACGAAATTGAGTCAAAATCCTTATTTCCAAACCCTTTTGAGCCTATTTCATCCAAGTAGTTTTGATGATGACTCTTTCCACATTCGGGCTTATGAACAATCTTTCGATTTTTATAGCTTGTAGGCGAATTCTCAAGTTGAATTTTTGTGTATTTGCTTCGGCGCAATGGAGGTAAAGATGGTTGCATTTGAGATTCTTGTGAACTGTTAGATATTCCAGAGTCACTTCGGTAAATCATGTAACTTTCCGGTTTAAGGAATTGAAGGTTTGCATCAGTTTCTACAGCGCCGCATTTAATTTCGGGACTTAATTTTTTGGGATATATATATTTTTTTTCTTTTGAATTTGAGTGCAAGTGTGCATTACCCATGTATTTTATATTCTTTTGTATCCCTATGCCACTCACGCATTCATCAGGATTCTCTAACCGTTTCTCACCTAAATTTCCGCAATGTAAATCGTGTAGATGAATCGACTGTCTACTGGAATATATATTGCCATTTCTATTGCTCATGAAAGGGTAGTGCTTTTGGCATTTGGGTAAAATGCCAACGCCTTCGACGGAAAGAGATTCCGTGAAACACGTCTTTGAATCACCAACATATTTTGTTTTAAATTGGATTTCTTCAGAAGATTTCAGCAACTGAAACTCTTTTTCCACGTTAAAATTGCTTTTGTTGGTTTTTTCTCGAATATTTTGTATACCATTATCGTATTTATGAACGCTATTGGCAGCATGACATGGATTGTTACTCGAAACTGAAGTTTCGAGAGGTATCTTTTTCACATCAGTGGGATGATTATGTACTTTGTCAATTGATGAGTAAAGTTTTGATGATTTGTTGTTTAATTTTTTTGTTTTAACATTTAGGGTATTTCCAAATTCTTGATGGTGATGATTTTTTGTGGCATTTGAGGTGTTTATCTTGGAAACACAGATTTGCAAGTTTAAGTTAGGTTCTAGAGAGAAATTGGACACATTTTGACTTTTTCCTTGACGTGGACCTTTAGATGCTGTACATTCCACTGAAAACGTTGAAGGGGATATTGGTTGTCCTAGTGGGGTTTTTTTTTGCAAATGTGGGTCACTGTTTAAAACTGGGTTGTAATCTTTATTGACTTTCTTGGATTGTGACCCGCCACATATCACATTTACGTTGTTATTTAAACTCGTAGGAGTATTGTACAACTTTATAATGTATCAAAAGCGTCAGCAGCATGCGATTAAGTGGAGTTAAATATAAAAATACGTTATTAAAGAAATCATTTTGTTAGTCAATCGATGTTAATATTCTTATTTATTTACATATAGTAAATTGTATAAAGTGACGGCGATTCTTCTTTAAAGATATGTTATAGACATATGTATATATATTATAAGGTATATATTAAAAACCTAGTATATTTAAAAAAAAAAAAACAGGAAGATGTTCATCCTCAGATCAAAAATTTTGTTTGACGAGTCAAAAAGTTTATTCTTTCCAGTGTGAAAGAATTTTTGGAAATTACGTACAATGGTCCTACGAAAAAATTGATTTGAATATGAATTTATATTTCAAAGTTTTAAAGGCTTTAGGAAAGAACGAAAGGGAAATTGTGAAATACACTTTAACCGAAATGGTTAATATATGAGCTTAGTAGTCACTCCCATAGCTGAAAAAAGCTATTTTTCCCATGCCTATTTTGCTATTTTTGGTACTATTTTTATACCTGTGCAGATATGAGTCTGAACGGCCGAGATTCTCGAAGTGTTACAGCAAACAGAAGTTATGTTCCAAGTTTGACTGAGGATGAACAGGATTCCCGAGAAAAAAGAAATAAACTCCTTAGGGCTCAAATTTTGCTTACGAACTCGCAGATCGCCGAATACGAAAACATGAAACGTCAAATTTGACTTGTTCTCAACGGACAATCGCAAATAAAATTGAAAAAATAAATTGCTTTTAAATGAAATTGCCATAAAGCTAACTACATATATCCGAATTTTGAGGTGTATATCCTATCTTAACTTCAATTGAGTATATCAATTTCAATTTTCCTTTTTTCCAATTATTGGTATTAAAAAGTAGCACTGTCGCAGTATAAACAAGAAATGAAAAATATATTCCATTGTATACCATAATTAAACATATACATATAATTATACATATAATTCCATAATTATACATATAACTATAAATAATAATTAAATACAAATTATTAATATCTAAATTATTAATTTATTTAAACATATTTATAATTTATACATTTTTAAAGAAAAAGAGGGAAAGAGGATACTTATTTGAGTTTAGTAATTTTAGTTTTGTGGGGCGCATTTTTAAGCAACTACTAACTTTATAGATCGGTTTAACATATATTTATTAAATTACCTTGTTTGGCGCCGTTTGCAGACCATGAAACGGTAGGTTTTCATACTCGCAAGGTTCCGTCAGTGGTTCTCCCATAGAAGATGATTTGTCGTGTACTAAATAGAGGAAATATTCAACGGTTTATTTAAAAATTTTATGATAAATAAATTCGGATCCGATGAATAATAGAAAATAAATACAGAAGAAAATTATTCAAAATAAAAAATAAGGAGCAAAGTATTCACATTTATGTTTATAATTGTTAATTATAATGGTAATGAATTGTGTAATGTTGTATAAACTAAAATAAGTAACGGTTCTTTAAACATTTTCTTTATTCCTTCAAACGCCAAACAATTATCTCATTAAGGGAAACAAATTGTGTGTCTGAACTTAAGTTTGTTGCCGAAGTTTGTTTGACGAAGCTTGAACTATTTTTAGACGGTTCAATACTTCCCACAACACATTATTTCAAAATCGGTGGCCGTCATGGCTCCAAAACTAATGTACTGATTTGAAACACTGATATCAGGTAACGAGAGGCGAAAGATAATTTGTGAATCAACTTTTTTTTATAATTAAAGTTTAATTATTAAACAATAAAAATGTTTGACAAAAACTGCGTTTTTAATTTTAAAGTGCTTCCAAAAATTGAAAAAAAAAATGCTTACTTGGCATTTACCATTAGTTTTACACATTCTTCAAATATTATACTATAATATTGAATTTAACCAATTTCAACCAAAAATTATCCGATTTTCTTTTTGATTAATAGGTCCAGATTAGCCATTAGAACAGTTTGGGATCAACCATTTTCCAAAAACATTAACGAACTCGCGCTAGGACCAGATTTCTGTGTCGGAGCGGGAGTGGCAGTGCCAAAATTTTGACACAAACTGGATTTCGATTTTGTGCACGAATGAAACCCATTCAGTTTTTAAGATAACTTTAGTTAAGAACCAAAATTCAAATGCGTAATCTTAAACCGATTTTAAGATTTTCGACGTTATTCAACAAGTTAGTGCAATCTTGCTAGCGCTCTTTACGCTCTTTTTATACCCTTGCAGAGGGTATTATAATTTTGGTCTAAAGTGTGCAACGCAGTGACGGAGACATTTCCGACTCTATAAAGTATATATATTTTTGATCAGGATCACCTCCTTGGTTGATATGAGCATGTCCGTCTGTCCGTCTGTCTGTTTCTACGCAAACTAGTCGCTCAGTTTTAAAGCTATCGACGACCACACCCTTCTTTCCTTTGCACGCAGTATATAAGTCGGAAGGACCGGAATCGGCCGACTATATCCTATAGCTGCCATATAACTGATTGATCGGAAATGGTATAACTTTGGTGTTTTTCGAGTTAGAGAGTTCAAATTTTACATGAGCGCTATTTAGCAAAATAATACGACATGCCAAATTTCATTAGGATCGGCCGACTATATCCTATAGCTGCCATATAACTGAACGATCGGAAATGACCCAACTTTCGTGTTTTTGAAGATAGAAAGCTGGCACTTGGTACACATTCTATTTTTGGTCATTTAATCCGATCTACCAAATTTCATAGTGATCGGCTGACTATATCTTATAGCTGCCATATAACTGAACGATCGGAAATGGTTTTTGGTAGAAATACCAACTTTGATATTTTTGAAGATAGAATTTTGGGACTTTTTTAAGATTTTGTATTGTAATAAATTGGATTATATATTCATACTCCCATAAGGATCGGCCAACTATATCCGATGTTTGCGATATATATCCGGTTTCAAGTGCAAAGGTATATAAACTTTGGCTTCGCCCAAAGTTAGCTTTCCTTTCTTATTTTTACATACTGTTACTCCGGAGCGGTAGCAAAATTGCACTGACTTGTTTTGGGAAAAGCGATATAACTTCAACAATTTTCATAATTTTCCTAATGAAATTGGTCTCGTTTTATTGAGAATTAATAAGACAATGAATAAACCCAATAAACGTATTCTAAATAAATCAAGATGAGGGTTTTACAAATATATCAAACACGGTTTTGCGATATATTAGACCTGATAAACAATTCCTAGTATGTCACTTTAAAAGTTCCAAATCACTGTTGCAATAAAACGAGACCAAGTTCATTATAAAATTCCGAAAATTGTCGAAGTTATAAAGCTTTTCACAAAAAAAGTTAGTACAATTTTACTATCGCTTGAGAGTAACAGTGTGTAAAAGCAAGAAATAAGCGCAACGGAAGGCCACACTATTGCTCCGGAACGCTGGCACGATTGCACTGACTTGTTTTGCTTTTTAAAAATGATTTTAAACTTATAAATATACTATCTTATACTATTTTTTTATCATATTTCAAAAGGTTTATGCTAATTAGTTTTATCTATTCATTTCCGAATCCAGAAAACGTCAGTTTACTTTTTTTCCTAAGTCAGCAGTGCTGACCTCACACTTAAGGGAAAAATATACGAGTAGTCATTCTATTGCAGTGGTCGGCACGGCCCTATCCTGAAGGCATAGGAAATTTCACTGCCCGAGCTCTGCCACACACACAGTATAAATGTGTGAAACATCATGCTCACAGCCTACTTTCTGCTATTCGTTACTAATACTAATGCGTTAATATCATATCAATGTATTGGGGTGCCGACCACTGTTCTATTTCTATCTTCAGTAAAATTTTAGACGATATTGTTCTATGGAATGAAACCATTGAAAAATGGTAATTAATCATCTTCTATATTATTGAAAACGAGAAAACTTATCAAACCCTTAACAAACGTTGTTGAATGAGGTTAAGTTGAATGAGGCTTGTAGTTCTTTAATTTTTATACCTCTGCCGAGGGTATTATAATTTTGTCCAAAAGTGTGCAACGCAGTGAAGACATCTCCGACCCTATAAAGTATATATATTTCTGATCAGGACCACCTCCTGCATAAGCATGTCCGTCTACCCGTCTGTCTGTTTCTACGCCAACTAGTCTCTTAGTTTTAAAGCTATCGACTTGAAACTTTGCACACACCCTTTTTTCCTTTGCACGCAGTATATAACAGATCATTGTTAATAATAAAAATATAATTCGGAACGACCGGGATCGGCCGACTGTATCCTATAGCAGCCAGATAACTGATTGATCGTAAATGGTATAACATCGGTGTTTTTAGAGTTAGAGAGTTCATTTTACACGAGAGCTATTTTTGCCAAAATAATACGACATACCAAATTTCATAAGGATCAGCCGACTATATCCTATAGCTGCCAACTTTTGTGTTTTTGAAGATAGAAAGCTGGAACTTAGTAAAGATTCTATTTTTGTTCAGTTTATCCGACCTACCAAATTTCATAACGATCGGTCGACTATATCTTGTCTGCCATATAACTGAACGATCGGAAATGGTTTTTGGTAGAAATGCCACCTTTGGTATTTTTGAAGTTAGAAGTTTGGGGTTTTTTTTTAGATTTTTTATTGTAATTAATTGGTTTTATTGTGATATTCTTATAAGGATCGGCCATCCGATGTTTGCGATACATATCCGGTTTTAGCTGCAAGGGCATATTAACTTCGGCTCCGCCCGAAGTTAGCTTTCCTTTCTTGTTTTTTAGATATTTTATTTTAATTTATTGTTTTTATTATGATATTCTCATAAGGATCGGACAACTGTATCCGATGTTTATTTTTCTGTTTTTTGTTAAGACCCGATTATAAATTCATTATATTGGTTAAGTTTTAACATATGAACTATAAACATAAATATAAAATTATTGTTGTTTCTTACCTTTCAAAATAAAGTTTAGTAGTTGAGTACATGCACAATTAAGGCGGGTTAATTAAAGCAAGCACCACATTTTACGAAAAAACCATATACCATTATGGACGGCTTACGAAAGGTGTAAGCGATTATTTATTTGCATTTGATTTTAAAATTGATTTGAATAGTATTAGGATAAAAAAAAACGAATAATAGATTTTACGGTGGAATTGTCCGTCGAACACATTTGTCGGAGGAAGAACGCAACATCATCAAAGCGTCGGTCAGATCATTTAATTTATTACTGACAGATTAAATAGGCACAGAAACCCAATTTAAAAAAAAAAGGGAGAAAGGTAACTTCGGACGGAACCAAAGTTGATATATTTTGCCATTAAAATCGGATGTATAGTATGTAATATTTACGTGTAAATGTAATATAATATTTTTTATAATAGGTATCTTCATATAGAATACAAGAAAAACTTTTTGTTTCAAAAACTCCCGAACTGTTTTTTATTGATAAACAAAATAAGTAGTAGTAGTAGTTTGGAAGCATGACCTTGTCCGTCTGACTGTTTTTCAGCACACTAACATAGTCTCCCAGTTTTAAATCTGTATCTATTTAAAAAAAGAAAGGAAAGCTAACTTCGGGCGAAACGATCGGATATAGTTGGCCGATCCGTATGAGAGTATCATAATAAAACCAATTAATTACAATGAAAAATATAAAAAAAAGTCCAAAGCTTCTTTCTTCAAAAATACCAAAGTTGGTATATTTACCAAATACCATTTCCGATCGTTCAGTTATATGGCAGCTATAAGATATAGTCGACCGATCGTTATGAAATTTGGTACGTCTATCTTCTTTCTATCTTCAAAAACACGAAAGTTGGGTTATTTTCGATCTTTTAGTTATATGGCAGCTATAAGATATAGACGGCCGATACTTATGAAATTTGGCATGTCGTATTATTTTGCCAAGAATAGCACTCATGTAAAAGTGAACTCTCTAACCCTAAAAACACCGAAGTTGTACCATTTCCGATCAATCTGTTATATGGCAGCTATAGGATATAATCGGCCGATCCGATCGGCAAAGGAAAGAAGGGTGTGTGCAAAGTTTCAAGTCGATAGATTTAAAACTGAGAGACTAGTTTGCGTAGAAAAAGACAGACGGACATGCTTATATCAACTCAAGAGGTGATCCTGATCAAGAATATATATACATTATAGGGTCGGAGATGTCTCCTTCACTGCGTTGCATACTTTTGGACAAAATTATAATGCCCTCTGTAAGGGTATAATGAACTTCTCATAAGGAGCCAAATGTGTTGTTAACTGGAATAGTATATCAATTTCACGTCCGCCCGAAGTA